GATGTCTGCCTGAAGCAGCTTACCTGTACTTCTTCTGTGTAGTTCTCATAATATTTAAGAAAATCTTTCCACACATATACAAAGAATCAGAGTCTTAAATTCTAAGCTGATGGGACAGCCATTATGCAAATCATCCAAGCCCAAGGAGCAGGGGAAATGAACCACTGAGCCTGGGAAGCCTGGTTTGGTCGCCTTTCCCTCGCCATTTGTGACATTTTCTGTAGGTGCACTTGCTCGACACTAAGACTGGGGTGACACCCCTGCCTGGGGGAAGCAGCATAGAAACATGCATGGGGCTAACTGAAACTGGAGAGGGTTGAAGATTCTTCTCGTCTTTAAAAAATAACTTTCATTTAAAAGTAAGTACAGACTTGTGCACCCTTCATCCACCTTTCTCCAGGTGTAGTTCACTATCAAAACCCGGAATTGATACTTATATGTGGGTACTAGACTACAGACCTTATTTAGTTTTCAAAAAGAGGGTTTGTTTGTTTTTTTTTAACATACATTTATTTGTGTGCATGTGTGTGTGTGCATAGTTCTATGTAATTTTACCCCATGTATAAGTTTGTGTGACCACCACCATAATCAAGATGCAGAACTGATCCATCACCACAAAAGAACTCTCTCCTGCCACCTACCTCTCTGCACTCACACCCCTCCCACTCAGTCCCTCTCCCATCCCTAGTAACCTGTCATCTACTCTCTATCTCCCTAGTTTTATTGTTTTGGGAATGTTACATAAATGGAGTCATAAAGTGTATAAACTTTTGAGATTGACTCTTTTCACAAAGTGCAATGCCCTTGAGGTCCATCCAGGGTGTTGCATGTATCAGTAATTCTTCCCTTTTTATTGCTGAATATTATTCCATTATGTGGATGCACTAGAGTGTGTTCAACCATTTATCCACTGAAGGATAGCTGGGTCATTTCCAGTATTTTTCCACTATGAGTAATGTCATTATGGATATTTGTGTACAGGTTTTTTTGTGTGAAGTAAGTTTCTGTTTCTCTGGAATAAATGCCCTCGGGTATGATTGCTGAACCATGTGGTAAATACTCCAAGAAACATGTTTCAGAGTGGCTATGCCATTTTACACCAACACCAGCAACGTATGAGAGAGGCCAGGTGTCCCCAGATCCTCACCAGCACTTGTCATCATCACCATGTATCCATGTTAGCTGTTCTAACAGGTGTGTAATTATAGCTCACTGTGATTTTATGTAATGAAACATCTTTTCAGGCTCTTATTATTTTACTTTTTTGTTTTAACTTTCCATTCATTTATTTTCGGTCTTTCTTTTGATCTTCCCCTACCCTCCTCTTCCTCCTCTCACTAAACTTATTGAAGTATAACACACGTATAGAAAATCCTAAGGTCACAGTTCTGGAAATTTCACACAAAGTGAACACACCTGTTAACCAGCACTCCGGTTAAAAAAAAAAAATGTTTCTATCACTCAGAAGCTCCTCACCTAAGTTATCCACTATTCTGACTTCTATCCAGCACTAGAGATTGGTTTTGCCTGTTTTTGAGCTTCATTTAAATGGAAGCATTTACTTTTACTCTTTTGTGTCTGGCTTCTTTGGCTCACGAGATCCCTCAGTTAGTCTTTTGAACCATCTCTACGAGGGGCTGCCAACTTTAGGCAATGAATCCCATGCGGACACTCTCCACCGTGTGTTGTGCAGTTAAATACAAGGGTACAAAACCTCTCTCGGCTCCCTGCATACTTGGGCCTAATGTCAGCAGCCAACCAACAGTAGTTCGGATGCCTGACAAATACCAATGCCCAAATAACATTGTGGGATAATGATGATCATGGTGCAGCTTAAGTGAATTCTGAAATATAAACTGCTAAGCCAAACTCTGACCCTTTCTTGATCCATCCTTTCAAAGGAGTAAGAGCTGCTTTAGGGATAGGTCTGGTAATGGGAAGCACATATTATCAAGAAGGGAGACTAATGATTTAGAGCAGGGATCACACTTCCCTGAGGTGTGATGAACCACCACCAGTCTCCTGGTATCTCACGAGGTGACATTCCTGAGATCACTAGGTAATGATAGAGCAAATTGCCTGACCTGCCCCCGCCCCCCAACTCCCTCCCGCCTCTCCTTACCTGTAGCAGAGCTGTTAGTTACAATTTTAGAACCTTTGTATACAAGTGAGAGTGGATCAAAGGAAACTTTGATGGAAGTTCTCACAGGTGATAAAATTGTTCTTTGGTCCAGGAAAGAGGAAGTGGTACATTTGAAATTATTTCAGTGAAGGTTAGTTCTTGCAGAGATAGAATTGCTGTCTCTGAATTGAATCATCTTCTGTATTCTTCTGAATCTTCCATCTCTTCTGCAGAGGTTTTATATTGATTGTCTTGGGATCTAGACTTTCCCATCCTGAACATGAAGTTGTCCATCATCATGAAACATTTACTGTGGGCTAACAGAGCTATTAGCTGCTTATATTGTACGGTCTGGCTCATGTACGTGGTGTGATTCTCTACAGAAGATAAACTGGCACTGAAAAGGTAAGACAATTTTTCTAGTGTCTCAGCTGGTAAGTGGCAGAGCCAGGACTTGGACCCAAGACCAACACTGAGAGCCCTACCCTCTGAGCAGCACCCCATGGCTCCAGAATGGGGGGGGTGACTTAGGTGAACCCTTAGCACCCTTCTCTGGTTCCAGATGTCCAATTGCAGAATGTTCTGTGGAGGACCAAGAAAAGTCGCTGTCAAAAAATTATCTGAAACGCCTGAGTCGTGTCTTTACTGTGGAGGCTTGTTCGAGCACATCCAAATTAGAAAGCTGACAATGGTTACAAGTAACAGCTGGCTTGTTACTGAAAGGGAAGAAATTGAGAACCTTACGATCACATCCGAAAATCAGATGATTGGGTTAAATACGTGGATGAGAGAGCCCCTTACTGGCGGTGACCTTGTCCAGGTTGCTCATTTTCTCTGACTATTGTTATTTTCATCTGTTAGGTGGAGATAATGGCACGTGAAGCGAGAGGAGTGCCTGGCACATAGTAAGTGCTGGGTTCCTGTGAGCTGCCGTCTTCATATTACTATCTCCAGCAGTGGCAGCACCAACCCGGAGAATATGGCCAAGGATGTGGAGGTGATGGGGGCTGGGGAGTGTAAAGTCAGGCCAGGTTTCTGGGCTGAGATACCTCTGCAATTAGCAGCTGCCTTTTCTAAGATAATGACAGTTGTAGAATTTTCCAGCTAGCCGGTCATTGGGCTGTTTTATGAAGAAGGAATCTGACGCACAGAGTGTATTTTTGCACCCCTATGTTCATTGCAACATTATTTACAATAGCCAGGATTTGGAAGCAGCCTAAGTGTCCATCAGTAGATGAGTGGATACAAAAGCTGTGGTACATGTACACAATGGAATACTACTTGGCCATAAAAAGGAAGGAAATTCGACCCTTTGCGACAGCATGGATGGACCTGGAAAGTACTCTGCTAAGTGAAATAAGCGAGACAGAGAAACAAAAGTACAATATGATTTCACTTATATGTGGAGTCTAATGAACAAAATAAACTAACAAGATAGAAACAGACTCACAGAGAACAGACTGACAGCTATCAGAAGGGAGGGGCTTTCGGGGCTGGGTAAAAAAGGTGAAGGGATTAAGCAAAAACAAAAAACAAAAACACAGAAAAAATCTCATAGATGCAGACAACAGCATGGTGATTACCAGAATAGAAGGGGGGTTGGGGGGGTTGGGAGAAGAAAGAAGAGGATATAGGAAGATAAATGATGATGGAAGGTGAATTGACTTGGGGTAGTGAACACATCACATAATATACAGATGATGTATTATATAATTATATACCTGAAACCTATATAATTTTATTAACCAATGTCACCCCAATAAATTAAATTTAATTTATTAATAAATAAATGGCAGTGTATTTAGAAGACTTGCTTAATTGTTGGGGCATTTTAAATCAGTTTATATTTGAGGAAGATTCAGAATTACAGCTAAATGTTCATCTTCATTTTGAAAATATTCACTAGCTCTCATGCTGTGCCTTCCTTGTCCTTTTGGGGCATAATAACCAAGAACACCAGAGCCCCACTAACAGTTTCATTCAACTAAAACCAAATTTTGTCTTACCAGTATTCTGACTCCCTCCAGCAGCGACCCTCGCACTCGCGGTGCCTGGTGAGATCATGTTCTCGGTGGAGTCCAGCTCTAGGAAAGGTGATTGGCCACTTCTTGGCATCACCCTTGTCTCTGGCTGTGGATTCGACATAAATGCTATGTACACAGTATGTCAAGCATATGGAGCCCTTCTCCTCTGTTAGCTCTTAAGGATAAGCTGAAATCGTCTCAGCCTGCTTGCCTCTGGCTCCTTTCATCTCTGTTGTGAGTTCTGTTTTTTGTTTTTTGTTTTGGTATATGCCCCTAGTGGGAACCGAACCCGAACTCTCTGGTCCACAGGCCAACACTCCAACCGCTGAGCCAAACCGGCCAGGGCGAGTCCTGTGTTTTAAATCCTAGAATTTCCAATGTGGTGACAAAGTGAGCGTAGATGAAGAGGGATGACTGACACTGGTTATGCTGCCCTGGGTTCACAGGTATTGACTCTGGCATAAGTTAATTGTTGAGTGAGAGGTTCTTTATATTAACGGATTAAATCTATACGTTGCTAGAACATACTGCCCATATGTTGGCGGTAGTTATCTGGCCTGGATTTTAGGAATTGTCCTGATTCCTAATCTTAGGTCTTGTTGTCATTACACGTGCCTGAAGTTTAGTTAAGCACATGTGTGGTAGTGGAGGCGAGTTCTCCCTCTTGGGAGCACATCCACTGCCCCCCCCCGCGTGTTGCCTCTGCCTTTCCCTCGCCTAAGCTCCAAGGCCCTTCTGCTTCTCTAACTGGGTTCCTGAGCCGACGCAGCCCAGCTGGCTCACTTCCACTACCTCTGTGACTTTCTAAATAAGCTTTCTCATAGTTTGAAAACAAGCAAACAAAAAGAATATCGATACTTACCTGGCAGGGAAGATATATGCTCACGAAGGTGGTTTTCCCAGGGTGAGGTGCACCCATCGCACTCCGGGTGTGCTGACCCCTGCAGTTTCCCCAAGTTCGGGAAACTCAGCTGCATAATTTGTAGTAGTGGAGGACTGCATTTGCACTCTCTCCTGGTTTTAAAAAAAAGATATGCATCATCCAGTACCTAAGCTCATAGGGAATTAGGACATAGAATTGTTTATGTTTTGGTCATTTACATTTGCAGCTAGACATCCGTTCTCTTTCTATTGTTAACGACATTCTAGTCGTTCCTTAGGAGTAGCACCTGTTCCCAATTATCTATCCAGGTGCTGACGTCACCAATGATGACAGTTGGGCACATGACCTGGGTCTGGCCAATGAGAGCATTTCATCCTCTTTGAGTCAGTGATTAATTCAGGGATGAATACGAAAAGCAGCCATGTAATCAGGTTCAACTATAGATGATCCTGTGACTTTTGCTTGAGACACAGGCAAAGAACCATTCTCTCTTCTCAATGGACTTGAAATTATGAGGCTGTGAACCTGGAGCTTCTGGAAGCTTCCACGAGGAGAGAGCCGGCCTGAGACAGAAACAAACTTGGAAAGCAGAGTCCAAAGATGGGGAGAAAGTGAGTCCTGAAGCTATCACAGGAGGCAGTACTTCAGCCACATCTGCAGTCAGCCTTCCCCTGGACCGCTTCATTTCCAGAGCCAATACATTTGGAGTTTTTGCTCGAACCATTGTGAGTCAAGTTTCTTTTCTTATAACGGAGAGAGTTCTGATTGATACAAGATGTTTGCTAGGTTGGTTTTGCATTCCCTGTAGAAAGTTCTTGCTCTTTTAGAGAAGGAAGAGGGAACTCAAGGAAACTCTAGTTCTAGGAAACTACGGAGTAGTGGGTACTTGGCCTGGTCAGTGGAGACAAACCAGCTAGAACTCAGAATTAAAGTCTGTCCTGAGGATGTATTGGTTTAAATTAAAGTTTACTATTTTTAAGCATTTGTGATCATTTATTTAAACTATTTTGGAAGGCTGCAAAGTGTCTTCAGGTTAAAAAAAAACAAGCTTTGTAGTTAAAGCTTGGGAAAGTGATTTTATTTTATTGAGCCTCAGTTTCCTCATCTGTAAAATGGGCATATTCAGAGTGCCTATCTCAAATGCTCGTTAAAGGCACATCAAACACTCAGAATAAGATATCTAGTATATCCTCAATAAATAGAAGCTATCACTGTTAGTAATGCTCTGAATTTTTCCTTTTTGGAAAGTGTGATGGGTCATATTATATCCCTGGGCCAGAATTAAGAGTCAAAATAATTTAAAAGAGAAGCACAAACTCTAAAAAAAAAAAAAAAAAAAAAATAGGTGTATTAAACATATCATAGGCTACCTAAGATTAGTTTGCTCACTCTTCCAAGTTGTAGGTAGAGAGAAATCTAAGCACTGGTATTGTCCTATTTCTAGTGAAGGACCAGGTTATGCAATGCTGTTTCCTGTCTCAGTTTAAGGGTATTTTAAGTTGTCAATGACGGTCCTTCTCCTGATGGAAGTAAGAGTTCAGACCGAGCTTTACTTCCTGACCTTAAAAATACTTTACTTAAAAATAAAACAAAATAATAAAAAACAGTATGACACATGTCAAAAGCGTAATTCAAACTAATGGTTGTTTAGAAGTACTATGGGCCTGGCACTATGCTAAACTTTCCGTGGGCCATCCTGTGTCTATCACAACTCCAGAAGGTAGGGACTCGTATCACCGACTTACAGACAGGAAAACTCGGGCTCAGAAAGGAAGGACTGCGGAGGGACCCACAGCTGCTGAGTGGTGGGATGACAGCCAGGCAGCCCGACCCCACAGCCTGCCCTGTTAGTCACCACACACTGCCCCTTTGCCTTGTCCTCCCGAGTCCAGCCAGGTGGGAGTCCTTACCCTCTAGCTCTCGAGCCCACTTCTGTTTACTGTAGGTCTGAGAGAATCAGGAGACCTGGTTCCCACGAGGCAGTACCCCCAGCATCGCCCAAAAGGCTGGTAGTGGGATTTTCCAGCGGCAGAACTGAATCACTTTGAGGAAAAGGGATGTCTCTTGGGAAAACTTGTTCTATTCTCATCATATATGCTTCTTGCTCTGAAAATTCGGATAAGATGTCTCATTGTGCAAGGATAATCACTCCTTCCTAATGAACCACTCAATAATTTATTTGGTTACATGTGATTAGCATGGGAACCAGATGAGGGTAAAAGTATCTACTCTTATTTATCTATTTTTAAGTACAATGCTCCAAGGGAGAAATTGAGAAGTTTACTTGAAAGAATGATTTATTTTATGTAAATTTTGTATGGATAGCATGCCATGTTCTGAGATGAATTTGAAAGTGCTAATGAGCACCTTCTACGGCCCTGACCATCCTTAAAGTTTTCCCTGTCACCATGATGGTTATTATCTGAGGACTTTGCTATTGCTATCAGATGTTGTCATTAGCTTGGTTTGTCTCCCTCTGGGATGTGTAATGTCTGTGACTGGGTGACAATAGGAATTAATGAAAGATATGAGCAGAGACTGAAGTATTATGGTCAAATACCACATAATAATGTTTCAGTAAAGAATGGACCACATATGCCCAGTTGGTGTGGCTCAGTGTTTGAGCGTTGACCCATGCACCAAGAGGTCACCGATTCGATTCCCAGTCAGGGCACATGCCCAGGTGGTAGGCCCGATCCCCAGTGGGGGGCATGCAGGAGGCGGCCAATTGATGTTCTCTCTCACTGATGTTTCTATCTCTCTCTCTCTCTCTCTCAAAAAAAAAGAAATGGACCACATATATGATGATGGTCTCATAAGATTATTATGGAGCTGAAAAACTGCTATCGCCCAGTGACATGGTAGCTGTCGTAATGTCGCAGAGAGGAATACTTGTGGGGAGTTCTGCGCTCAGTGCTGTGTTATCACAGAAGATAGCTCCATGCGTGTGGTCGCCTCTGGAGACCTGCCCTGGGACAAGGCATGGGGGGGACGATGGTGTTACTGACGGTCCTGACCCTGGGAAGACCTAGGCTAATGGGGGCACTTATGTCTTTGTTTTTAACAAAAAACTTTAAAAAGTAAAAAGAAAAATTTTAATAGTAAACAACTTATCGCAGAAGTATATAAAGAAAGAAAATAGTTTGTGTAACTCTACAATGTGTTTGTGTTTTAATCTAAGTTATCTTTAAATCTAAGTTATTTTTAAAAACTAAAAATTTTATGAAGTAAAAATGTTGCAGTAAGCTAAGCTTAGTTTATTATTGAAGAAAAGAAAAGAAAAGAAAAGAAAAGAAAAGAAAAGAAAAGAAAAGAAAAGAAAAGAAAAGAAAAGAAAGTTAATCCAGTGTAGTCCAAGGGTACAGTGCTCATAAAGTCTTCAGTGTCATACAGGAAAGTCCTGGGGCTTCCGTCACTCACCACTCACTCGTGACTCCCCACAGCCACTCCAGTGCGCACGCTCCGCTCATGGGAAGTGCCCTATACTAGCATACCATTTTTTATCCCTTATGCCAGATTCTACTGTGCCTTTTCTATGTGGAGATATGTTTAGATACACAAATACTTACCATTGTGTTACAATTGCCTACAGTGTTCAGTGCAGCAGCGTGCTGTGCAGGCTTGTATTCTAGGAGCAATAAGCTCTGCCATATGGACGGGGTGTGAAGTAGGTTTGTGTAAGTGCACTCTGTGGTGTCAGCCCAGTGACAACATCACTTAATGATGCATTTCCCAGATCATATTCCTGTCATTAAGAGACACATGCCTATATTAAGCAGACGAACATTAATGATCCTCATTATACAGCAATGACCAGGGTGTGGTTGCTGATAGTCAGAGCCAGCACACTGTATGACACCAAGGGCTTTATCTGCACTATATTCAGCATCCAAGTGAAAGTCAAAAGAGGTTGTGTTAGGAGACAATGGAGAGGTAGACATGTGTTGCTTCTTGGCTGCCCAGAATTCACTTAATTCTATTTCTGATAGCTTCCAGCATTCACTGAGAATCCATGCTAACACCCCCAATGCAGGTGGAACTAATTTCACCCCAGCTCTAAAGGTGGCATGTGATTCAGGTCGGCACAATCAAAGCTTCGTGTTCCCCCGACTGCAGGGGACTTCTGAGGTAGACCTTGATGTAGTGACTTCTCAGCCTGAGCAGAAGGCTGGCCTGCTTCTGAGAAGTTCCTGAGATTTTGGGGGTTTGACTGTAAAATCATATTGACTCGAGCAGACATACAGCCTGGAAGGAACACTGATACAATGGCAGCAATACAAGTTTGTGATGTACTGGAGGCATGTATTTGTCCACAATAAATGAGCATTGTATAACAGGGGCTATTGCTAACAGCAGGAGGGCATTAGGGAGAGGAGTCTGGGGAATTGTATCATGAGATGCTCTGGCTCTAAACCTGCTGGAGGATTCCAAGATTCAAGACATGATGTGTCTCCCAAGTTGCAATGAGCTTCCCCAAGCTTTCAAGATCGCTGTAGTACAGGACTTTATTTGTATGCTCATTCCTTTAGCCAGCTGAAAGTTTTCACTCCCAAAGGTGGAGCCATTGCTCTTTCCCCAGTCCTCTGACGTCATCTCCAGTCTCTGAGGCTTCTTGGTTATTGTTTGTATCATCTCCCATCTTTTCTCCCACCACCATGGCTAGACTAGGCTTTGCTTCTGACAGCATTTAAAAGATGTTTACATTCCATTTAGTACAATACTTGGAACTCTTTGGAGAAGAGTTCTAGAAATCTATTAAAAGAATAAGCTCTTTTGTCAGACATTTGGTAATTTATGACCACATTTTTTTCCTATCCTAGTTATGAAACTTGCTCTGTTGAATCCATCTGTATTACTAAGCATCAGCCAGGACTCAATCCCATTTCTGTCGTCACCATCATAAGTTATCTTCCATTGTGTTGACTCTGTCCCCTATTTTTTGCCTGACATGCTGCCTGCAGCATCTGACACACTCTGCTGAGGCAAACTGCCTTGCTCAGCTCTATTCACCATTCTCTTTTATCCAGACTGTGCCAACAAGGGGGAAAATCTGAAAACACCCTGTACGGTAATTAGGGATCAGGTGCAGTCACTGATGGGGCTTAGCATTTTAGATCTTCTCCAGGTGCAAA